GGAATTTTTCTTCTTAAGCACTAGCATCCTTTTCAGTCCATAGGGCTCAAGAACTTTGCTTGCTGGCTGAGTCCAGACTCCTCACTCCTCACAGGACCAAGCTTATTGAAAAATCCAGGCTTGGGGTCTAATGCTGCTTGGCAAAAATAATGGAAGCTATAGCACATAATTGGGATGAAGTTCCAGCTATGTGACCCACTGGATATTCTGGCCACATCCTGCACTCTCCACCTGTCTTTCCTCTTCATTAATTTCAGTCAGACCAAAGGGTGAAGAGCTGTGAGCTGTCATTACATGTTCCATAGACTTTTAACCCCCTCCTCTCTTTTGGTGCTGCAGTGGTGGCCAGGAGTGCTCCAGAGGAGACCGTGACCAGCAGCTTTGCCTCCTTCATCCATGCAGTCCGACCTGAGCACCTGTCCAAGATCGTCCGTCACAGAAGCAAGAGAATGATCCTTGACAGCATTGGTGTTGGCCTTGTGGGCAGCACAACCCATGTGTTTGATATTGCTCTGAAGTACTGCCTGGTAGGAGCAGCTTCATATTACTGTGTATTTGTGTGGCCCCCACTGTGACCCCATCAGCACAACCATGACCTTATCTCATGGATACTGTAGGACTTTGCCTTGCAGGAGGGCATCATACAATCCTTTCTTCACTCAAGATCTAATCTGAATCTCCTTTTCACAGGAGCTGTACTCTTCAGTTGCCGTGAGCAATGTCTATGGCAAGCCTGGTGTGAAGCTGTCCCCGACTCTGGCTGCGTTCACTAATGGCGTTGCGGTAAGGCAGGCTTTTCCAGGAGAAATGCTGCTTTGCAGTAATTAGTATTACAGGAATACGTCTAGGTGCTTTGGAGGGACAATGGAAGCCAAGAAGTCATGGTTGGCTCTGTAGTCTTGCGAACTGTTTTTAGAGGGGAATAACCAGCAACCATAGGGATCTCTGCATTAGAGGTGGAAGTTGCTGTAGCCTCAGAGATATTAGCAAGGATCCCTTCAGCTCTCACCCATCCCACTATCATGTTCTTATCTACGTTTGCCTGACAGACTCACTCCATGGACTTTGATGATACCTGGCACCCTGCTACTCACCCATCAGGGGCTGTTCTTCCAGCTCTGCTGGCAGCTTCTCAGATGCTACCTCCAAACTCCAAACCCAATGGCCTGGATTTCCTGCTGGCATTTAATGTGGGCCTGGAAGTGCAAGGAAGGCTCATGCATTTCTCCACCGAGGCTCACAATATTCCCAAAAGGTAAATCTTTTTGTTCACCTAGTAGACTGGTGTGAATGGAGAGCTAGAAGAGCTAGAGCATGGTGTAGTAATTTCAGGAACAGAAACAAGCATAAGCATGCGACTTATCTCCCTGTGGTAGCTCATGCAGCTTTATGGGCTCAGTGCCACTGTACCAAGCCCTCTGGGGAAATGTCCAGGTCACAAACAAAAGCAGAGGTCAACCATATTTCCCCACAGACTCAACATGGCTACAAAGAGTGAGCATGAGAAGAGGGTTGGTGTGTCTGTTCATGGGCTTGCTCAGGGTTTTAAATGCCACTCTAAGACCGTCTGAACTCAAGATGAGGATGAAGTTCTGCTGAGAGACAGAGGCCAATTCTGACAGGGCTAACAAGGCACCACTTATCTCACGTTTATTTGGTGACCTTCAATGATCTTTGCCCCACAATAACCACCAAGACAACTGAGATTCTGGTGTGGTCCCAGGGAGATTCTGGTGTGGTCCCAGGGAGAACATCAACCAGGACATGGTGCCATCGGGCGTGTGGCATAAGGACACTTTATTTGTGTGGAAGGGTGAAATTTTGGGTGAAAATTTAGCAATATGGGCACAAGTCATGCCACCTCTTAGAGAGAACAAAAAAAAAAGCTTTCTGGAGATGGTAATCTTACTCTTCTTTCTCCAGTGAAGTTTCAAGCAGATGCTTAGTCTGCATATGGTAAATATTGAGTCATGAGAACCCCGTCCACCACAGATCCATGAGAGATTTCCACTGGTTGATTTCCATTGACACTTCCATGCTTATACCTGCAATTTCCCCTTTAGGTTCCACCCTCCTTCAGTAGTTGGTACTATGGGCAGTGCTGCAGCCACTGCAAAGCTGCTGTCTCTCAGCATGACCCAGTGTACCCATGCCTTGGGCATCGCTGCTTCACTCGCAGGAGCACCCATGGCAAATGCTGCCACACAAGCCAAGCCATTGCATATTGGGAATGCCACCCGCCTGGGCTTTGAAGCAGCACTGCTGGCTGCCCGAGGAATGGAAGCTAACCCTTTCATTCTGGATGATATCTCTGGTTGCTCTGGATTCAGTGCTTTTTACAGCATCTATCAACCCACACCACTGTCCACACCAAGCGAGCATCATGAGTTCCTTTTGGAGAAACAGGATATTGCTTTCAAGCGATTCCCAGCCCACCTGGGGATGCACTGGGTGGTGGATGCTGCCTTGTCCGTTCGGAACCTCTTCATCAACTATGCAGGGTCCTTCTCTCCCTCTTTGATCCGTACCATTGTGCTGAAGATCCCAGTGTCAAAGTACATCAATAGGCCTTTCCCCAACTCAGAACACGAGGCCAGACACTCCTTCCAGTTCAATGCCTGTACAGCCCTGCTGGACGGAGAAGTGGGCCTCAGCTCCTTCACAGAGAGCAGCATCCACCGGCAAGAGCTGAGGGAACTGCTCCACAAAGTGGTAGTGGAACACCCTGAAGATAATGTGGCTAATTTTGACAAAATGTATGGAGAGGTGGCAGTGCTCCTGAAGAGTGGAGATGTCCTGACAGGCAAATGTGACACTTTTTATGGGCACTGGAGGAAGCCTCTCAGCAGGGAATCACTCCTGAAGAAGTTTCGATCCAATGCCTCTCACGTGCTTCCAGAAGAAAAGGTAGAAACCATCATTACTATGGTGGACAATCTGGAGAACCTGTCAGATAGCTCCCATCTGGCCTATAGCCTGTGAAAGAATGTGTTTTTGACAAGGGATTTATCTCAAAGAAACTGATTCCTTTCTTTGTTGGTGCTTTACTATTCTTTTCCAGTGATAGGAAAGTTCTTATCCCTTAAAGTCAAAGTAGATGCGTTAGTATCACAGAAGTCCATGAGGCAAAAACTGTGTCTGTGTAATTAGTACACAGATTAAATTTGACTCAGTTGTTTCTGAGTAGCTGAAAGCTGACTACAGATGCCAAAACCTCCCATGGATCTATGAAAATCCTGGGGTATTATCTTGAAGCTGGTTCCCTACAAAGGAGAGTCCAGATATTTTTACAGTTGTGTTCAAGGTTATTTCTGTATAGAATGCCTAACTGCTGAGTCTGGGAAGAGGAGAAGAGGAGGACACTCAGCTGCAAAATGTGTGCTTTCCTTAATGCTCCTCTGAGCACTTTTTGGATCATGATTAGATAGTTGTACTGGATAAATGAAAAATCTATCAGAGTTACTGTAAACAGCCCTGCCTGCAAAACTCTCAAGCAGAGAAGGATTTTTTTTTTCCAGCAAAACCTTCCAATATGTCCAATATTTAGGAAGTTGTTGTCACTTCTGTATGTAGAAGGAATGGTTAAGTGACTCTTAAAGCCTCTATGTCTTATGTGAATGAAAGGCAGCCAATTGAGGAATCCTACATCAGTCCTACATTTACATCCTACACCTTCTGCAAGGTGATCATAGTGCTGTGGCATATCATCCCTCCTGGGTTTGGACAGATCACCCAGGCAGCTATCAGAGCTAGCTTTCCAGAGGTCATCTTTGTAGTCAGTGAAGAGATGGACCACTCTGGATTGTCACTTGGGTACAAGCATGGTGACTCACATTGGGAATTTCCTACTTCTCTTCCCTGACAGGGGAGAAAACATAAAGAGGAAACCCCTAAATCATCTTTCTAGCTGTGGTAAAATCTATGACTTGTACTCCTGAGTAACCATTCACTGAAAGAATTCTTACATTTAGTTCTTTTTGAGCAGCAAGATGGAGAACTATGCAATATTCCTATGCTCATCAAACAAATACTGACTGCTGATCCAAAGGACTTGCTTCCAGTATGATCATGATGTAGATACAGAACCTGCTGGGAAATTCAGGGTTGTTTTCTGCTGAGAGGACTGAGATGGGACTAGACAGGCAAGAAGCAATGTGGGCTGGTTCATTTTTAGCTTGCTAGTAGTGGACTCCGCAAAGAACTTCCAAGTCAGAAGAAAATATTTGCCCAACTGATGTAATCCACTCATAATGTAATCCTCTCATACTGTCTAGCATAGTTACTCTGAATCTTTCTAAATAAAGAAATGAAGTGAATTCTTTTTATTATTATTATTGCACAAAAATCTAATGCCGCATTATGTAGTCTTTCAGTTTTAATTCAAACATATACAATAGAATGGCTTTCAAATAAAAGGGGAAAGCAACAGAGGCTAGCAGAGGCTAGGAGGGGATGAGCTGAAGTTGAAGCAGAGATCACTGATTGTCATCAGTCTTCCATCTGAGAGGAATTGGTCTGTAGATACTATGGGCAGGTTTGTTTGACACCGAGGATAATTCAGTTATTAATATGACACAACATTTCTTCTTTCAATTGAGTAAGAAAATATCCTTTGCCCTTCCTTCTATTGCTGTTCCAAGAAAAAGTACACTTAAATAAAATTAAGGAGACCTTTCTACACAAACATATCCACAGTTGCAAGCTCAGTGAAATAATCGCTTCCAGCACATAGCCAGGAAGGTCATCTGCTAGCAAGCAGTCACTGAGGACTCAGTGCTCAATCTCAGGCCCAAAATGAATGGGGCTGGGCTGGAACACGAGCCAGGGCAGGGAGAAGCTGGGAAGCCAGGGCCGGTAGGAGCGACGCTTCCTGGCAGTCGTCAGCACCCTGGAGAGCGGCCGCGGCCCCGAGGCTCCCAGACCGAGGTCCCCGTTCCCAGCTGTCCCCACCCCCAGGGCCCCCTTTTGCTCTCCACGAGCAAAGCAAAGGGTGAGTTTCCATATCCCATGGGAAAGCTTATCGTTCATTCCCACAGGTGGTTTGATCCGAACTGCAAGCTGCCTTCTCTCCTGCCACTGCCACTGACACAAGTTTTGGGTAATGGGAAGCACTGCATTTATTAAGATTTGGGTTGTTTTCCACCATGGACTTCACAGGATATACCATCAGAAAGTTTTTTGTTTTTTCTTTTTAAAGCTCAATTCGCGGATTATTTCTATTTTAGAGGTGATTTTGACTGTAGAGATCAGAAAAACTCACTCTGTCTTCCAGCACTATTTTCCTTGATGATAACGTTACTACCGCAGTGTGGCCATCTGAGGAACTGCTCTCCTTGAAAAACCCCAAGTAACCCCTCTTTGTTCTTTTATGCTTTTCAATAATTGAAGGAATTAAAGAAAGAAGGAAACTTACATAGTGACAGTCTTAGACAACTAGGCTGGGCTGAAAGTGGAGCCAATTTAGAATTTCTTACCACTGTCCCCTTAGCACCCTCTTTCTCACTCAGCTAGAATTTTGCAGGGACTTGAAAAGTGATAGGATTCTGTTCATGTGGGATGGGAGAAGTCAGCAATGAGATGTCTAGCGTTACACATCCTCCTCTCCATGCAGCCACCTCACTGCTGATTTCTCCCATCCCAGATTAACAAACTCTGTCACTTTTCAAGTATTAATGCAGAGTTGAGTATGACACACAGATCTTCAGTCTTGTGAGCAATTTGTATGTCAGACACTGGAGCCCAGTTCCCAGTTCCTAGATAGGCAGTAGGTTTCAGCAGGACACATCTTCTAACAAAGACAGGAAATCTCAATTGATGTTGATTTATAAAAGTAGGAGGGTATATTTAGGTTAAATATAAGAAAAAAAGATTTTTCAGTGAGGGTGGTGAGGCATTAGAACAGGTTGCCTAGTGATGTAGTTGATGCCCCATGCCTAGAAACTTTCAGATTGAGCTGGGTAAGGCCCTGGGCAATGTAATCTAGCTGTGGTGTACCTGTTCGTTGCTGTGGAGTTGGACTAGATGGCCTTCAGAGGTCCCTTCCAACTCCAAGTATTCTATGATTCTGTGATTCTATGATTCATATCCAGAGGTAAGATCTCAGCAAGCCAGAGCTAATCTTGTCTTGGGAGAGTTCTGATGCAGTTCCATGTCTCTAGCTGGGATTTGAGCCTCATTCTAAGTTTACAAAATTAATGCTGACACTTGCATCAGGCTTCCTACTGCAACACAGGCAGAGAATGGGTCATGGTTAGGGCTCCCCTCCACTGGCTTCACTCTTATCTGTGATGTACCTAGAAACTTCAATCAGATTCTCATCAGGGTCTCGGAAGTATACAGATGTTATTGGACCCACAGCACCTGTCCTGGCCACGGGACCTTCTTCAATTATCACTCCACAAGCCTGGGAGGAAAAATAAGAGCAGGGTTTTAATGCTCAAGGGAATCTTTAAAGATTCCAGTCTTGCAAATACAAATTGTTGTATGAGAAAATTCTGACATTCTCCAAAGCACAGACCTTAAAAGTGTCACTTGTGAGGCTCCAGCTTAGTGCCTCCCAGGTTTACAAGGATTTGTGTTACTCTGAGCCTTCCTTACCTTCAGATGACCCAGGAGATTGTCCAGGGATGCCTCTGTGATAAGGCAGATATCTGCAGAGCCAGGGACTGGGCATCGAGCTTTGGGTTCAAACTCCTTCCCAACTTCATGCAGGTTAAACTTCTGGTTGCCAAAACGTAAAGCTTTGCGATTTCCCTGTCCCCAAGTAAAAGAATCAATCTCCAATGAGACTTCCTGGATTGGAAGCTTTTAGCATCCCCTCAGCTGTGTAGTCTTGAAAGTCCTGGGAACTTGGTTGTAACGCTGATAACTTTGGGCCCTTGCTGTGGCTACTCAAGGCAAGAAGTGGCTGCTGCAAGGCTCCAAAACATCCCTCCAGATGCAGTGACCCGATAAAGTCCCCCGGCCACATGTAACTACTTCCAAGATCTGATGGTACAAGTGCTCAGTTTTGGGAATCCTGCCTGTGGGACAGGCAGGATAGTAATAAATAATAATAATAATAATAATAATAATAATAATAATAATAATAATGCACATTTTGAGAACAGCAGAGTGAACAAAATTGAGGCAGGCAGAAGACACTGAGGTTTGAGCACCTCTTTTCTTTGCAGATGGTCAAGATTTCTGCAAGCTTACATAGCAACTGAGTGCCAAGCTGTATGGAAATGCAAGGCAGTGAGTTGCTATTTATGCCGCCTGAAAAATAAATCATTGCTCACTGCAGTCCTGGAATGTAAATGGAACTGATTTTAAGAGGCCTGATGGAGTAGGAGACAATGAAATAGGTTTTGGAGTTAATTAGGTGCAATGGATATGGTCAAAACATGTCAAGTTGCCCTATGATTAGGCAAGAGATGCACTGGTGTTGTTCTGAAAATGTTAGCTATCCTGTCTTAAGTTTGCCAGTGGATCCCCAGCACATGAAGGATTCAGAGCTGTTGGAGAGGTTAAGGAGAAGGCTCATGAAGATGATCAAAGTTCTAGAGCACTTCTCCTATGAAGACAGGCTGAGGGAGCTGCACTTGTTTAGCCTGGAGAAGGCTCCAGGGAGACCTCACTGCAGCCTTCCAGTACTTAAAGGGAGCTTAGAAGCAAGAGGTGACTAACTTTTTGAACGGTATAATAATGATAAGACAATGGGAAATGGCTTTAAATTGAAAGAGGGGAAATTTAGGTTAGATGTTAGGAAGAAATTCTATACTTAGAGGGTGGTGAGGCACTGAGACAGGGTGCCCAAAGAAATTGTGGATACCCCATCCCTGGAGGTGCTCAAGGCCAGGGGCAGCCTGAGCTGGTTGGGGGAAGCCAGCCCATGGCAGAAGGTTGGAACTGGGTGGGCTTAAATTTCCCTTCCAACCCAAACATTCTATGAGTCCAAAGAAGCTTTGTGAGTTTGAGTGGTCTTCTTCAGTCTCAGATATTGTTTTTCAATAACAATTTCTCCTTTTCTTTGGGGAGGGGGGGGTCACTTTGGCTCCTTCTGCAGTTTGAATCTTTCTTTGACTCAGCTTGACCCTACTGAAACTCAGGATTTAATGGCCTGCATCTTGTGCTGGTTCTACCATCCCCACACTATTGAAGTGACCCAGATCCCCCGTTAGAACCACAGGAACCAGGCACCAGTCCAGGACTGCAACTCCAAGTCCTAGAGACTCAAGACTTGTTTGGCCCCTGTTACCTTGAAAGTCACCACCTCCATGCCCAGGACTTTGGAATAAAAGGCAACAGTGTCCTCAATACTCTTAACAGTCAACACAAGGTGGTCCAGGCGCTGGATGAAACACGGGGGTGGATTCATACTCCTCTCCTTCCAAGACGTCATCTTAGAACTGGGAACAGAGTGCAAAACCACAGAAAATGAAGGTTAGGAACATCCAGCTGCTTAGGGAAATGATCCAGGCAGCTGTGAACTGAACCATGAATGGAGCACAAATGGGTTTTGTTCTGGCCTGCAGGTGGCACAAGTACAGAAGCAATAAATTCTCCACTCTAGAAGGGGCTCAGACCCCTCCATAGCTCTGGTTGGATATGTCAGATCCCCTGGCTGGCATCACATCTGGAGAACTAACTTGATCACTTCATTTATGGCTGAACTCCCCAAGAACCCTGTGTGCACTAGGGATGGACCATGTGTATGAAACCTAAATCCCAAAGACTGGAAATATCTTTGCCACCATGGAAAATAAATAGATTTAGCTCTGACAGCTTGATTAGGTATTTGAGGGATGAGAAATTTTCATTTTCTTTCAGTTTTGATTGATTTTATGTGTAGAAAACCAAGCTGTGGAAACTAGGAGAGTTGTGACAATAGCAAATGGAGTCAAGTTGCCTTTAAATCACTAACAACTTACCTACATTTATTTCTCTCTCTCAAAAAGCCCCAAATCCTGACACAAATGACAGTTCACATTTCTGAGACCCTCCCTACATTCCCCATCTACACCACTGTGCAAGGGAATCCCAAATCTCCTGCTGCCTCTCAGGGAAATAAATTGATGGCAAATAAACCTGTTAACATGAAGGCAGCACAAAGAAGCACAAATTGGGAAAATAAGCCACGACACTGACCCCTTTTTGCCTTGTTTTTTGCCTTCAAACTCCTTCCAGCAGCAAGCAGTGTGTGAATCTGATACCAGAGGTTCATGGAGATGCAGCATCCAGACACAGGGAGTTTAGCAGCCTTGATTGGCAATGGGACTTGGCTTTTTCTTGTATGCTGAGTTCATATCATCTGGCATTGCCTGTCTGTACATGGGAAATGGCTGACAAAGCCTGGCTGACAGTGTGAAACCAGTCACAGCTTTACCAGGACATCTCACCCCTGCAGTCATAGGAACTCATTCTACTTCTTGTCACAGATGGCGTTTAGTCGTTGACAACTTCACCTCCAATCTGCCTGGACTCTGAGCCTCCACAAAGCCCTTTCCTCTCAGCAGGTTCTCCTGGGTGCTCCTCAGCTGCGCGAGCTCTTTTGTCCCAGCTGCAGCAAACTTCCCCAAGACCTTCCTGTCCCTTGTGAGCTACAAGCTTATTGGCCCCTCAGCAAACACAAGGGAACCAGGCTGCAAAAAGAGGATGCGTACCTGAAGGAGAAGCAGAGCTGGGTGAGCTGGTGCTGGATTTATGACTGTCCTTTTCCTGCTGCCTGGAGCTGAGCAGTGCGAGGAGACACGTCACAGGAGAAAGGGGAAGACAATTAAAAAAAAAAAGTGCTTGGAAACAGGAACTCTGAGCACTGCTCCCTACAGAGGTGTACTTTGACCTGAAGGTTGGGAAACACAAACCACACAGACTTGCTTGAAATATCTGGAGTATACAACAACTTACCTTTCCCTTTGGTAGGGAAAGCTGTGTTCATCTGCTAAATTCAAGCACATTGTTGAGCTTGGAGCTGACTGGGGTGACATACTGCTAAGAATAAAGTAAGAATGTTCCTAGAGAAGTCATGGCAAGCAGTTGCAGCAGGCTCCTTTCCCTGCCTCTTTGCCTCCAGGATTATTTTATGTCATTCAATGTGCTAAGGTCTTACACCCTGTGAGACATTCGCTTTCTCAGGGAACACTGCAAGCTCCCAGGTGCTCCCAGCTGGTAAATGAATCTCTGAGCTAAAGGAGTCATGCTACCAGCCAGCGTAGAGCAACAAGCAATAGCAAAGGAGCCTGAGGGTGAAGCGCACAGCTTTGGACACATTTTTGGATACATCTCTGTGCAAGCAGACTTGTCCAAAGGGGACCTCTATGGCCAGAGGCAGAGTTAGAAATCTACAAAAAATGAATCAGCCAAAAATAGAATGGAGTTTTGAAAAGTCTGAAGCTTGTAAGACCTAACTATCTCTGCAATTTCTGCTCTGCTTTCTACTCCAGATGGCATGATCGAGAGGTTCAGCAGTCCAATAGTGGGACTGGCTGGCAGACAGAGAGACAAACATAGGTAGATGGACTTACCAACCTTCACTAGCAAGTGAAAAATCCTTTTTTTCTTATTTTATTAAAGCAATTCTTACAGGTGCTGTAATACTGACTTTGAGGCCAGACAGTCTTTGAGGGCACTAATAGTCTTTAACAGTTCCGGGACCTCAACCCACACCTACGGGTCCAGGAGCCAATGGAAGCTCAGCTCTGGGCCTTAAAACTTTCTGAGTGATAACATGTTGTCGGTCTCTAGCACAGGCCCTGATGAGCCTCTGCATGGCAATGCACCTTGTCCTGGATCTCGACTCTGTGCTACTACAGACCTGCATGATAAGGGTATGCATCCAGATTCATTAGAACTACATCAGAAGGTCTGATTTACAGGACAAGTGCCATCTGTAAGAATGGACAAGGTCATCCTGGTCAGGGGAGGGAGTGGGGTTGGTTTCACTGCAGAAGACTGCATGGAAAAGGAGACTGACATCTGGGCTAGAAAATGGTCCCTACCTGTTATGATGTTTTAGAGGGTTCTTTGAAATCAGACCATCCGAACAGTGTGATCAGTGCTTTTATTTGCTTTGACTGACACTTTGCACTGAACCAAGCAGTTCAAGGTCTTTAGTATTTTACAGATAAGTATGGATAATTTGTTGGCCTCCAGATCATCAAGATAGGATGCAAGAATTATGTAAATGCCATATTTTTTAAAAACAAAAATATAACATTAAACTGTAACATTCTAATGGAAGGTTTCAAAATAAAATGGGGTAGGAAGAGACCTTTGTTGACAAACCGATTTCCCTGGGAAACTAAAACAGTAGCATTTTCTCCACTCCCAGCGTAGAGCGACTGTGCATGTTCTGACCTGTGGATATAACAACACTGCACACACAGGGGTAGCTTGGTGCATTGAGACCCTTGTGCTTCAGCATGGGTTCACTGTAAAATCTGAGGGTGAATAAAAAGAAGAGAATTCCTGAAGAGATGACTCTCAGTGTTCAGCTATATGTGGCACTGGGCAGTAGTTTGTTGAAGAGGCGCAGCAGGGGCACTAGCTTTGGTGGAAATTTGAGGTTTGGGAGTTTTTTTTCATTAGATGAACAATGATTTCTGAGGTGGAGCTCAATATATCAAATTCCAGCCTGGGAAGGGTTTTACATTAGAGTTTAGCTTCCTACAGGTGCAGCTGCAAAGGATCCCTGAGCTGTTCTCCATGAACATCTTCCTCTACATGCTGGACAGAGTGATGGAGTTGAAGTAGCTTAGCAAATCCTCCATAGTGAATTCCATGGTGATCCCTGACCCCACATAGCAGCATTGGATCAGATCTTCAAATTCTCTGTACTGGCGTAGCAGCTCCTGCTCCATAGCATGCCACACAACCTAGGGAAAAGCAGAACATCAACCTATGATAGCTATATATGAAGGCGGAAGAGTAAGCCATGCATGCTCTGCCATACTAAGGTAGGGCACAGCAGTAGTAAGGTGCTAAGGCATTTCATCACCAGAAGACACTGCGTTGTAGCCCTGAATTCCCCCCCCAGAAGATCATAGCATCAGACACAGATCACACTGCAGTTACCGGAAAAAGGTTTTCCTCTGGGGAAAGACACTTGTGGATTTTTCTGTAGAGGATCTCAAGGGCTCTTTTTACTTCCTTGCCAGGGTATCTTTCAATGACTTTCCTCAGCTCTTGCTTGCTGTAGGCCAGATGGAAACTGATCTCCTCTTCTTTCACCCCCTGAGCAACACGAGCTTTCAACCCTTCAAAGAAGTGCTGGAAATGCAAGGAGACATCAGTTGATGAGGTGCCCTAAGATGGACTTCTGTGCCAGGGCTGAGGCCTGGCTGCTCTCCTCAGTTCCCTCTCTTTGACTGAGCGGAAACAAAGAGATTGCTTGTCTCCTTGGGAAAGCTTTAGGGAATTTCATCTGTTCTACCTTTCCTCCCTGCTCAGCATGTAGGATCCCTAGGTGTTACATTACTGTGGAGCAACGGGATTGCTGAAAAATCACTTGTGCTCCTTGGGACTTCATACAGCTTTGCTCACCAGAAAGGTTTTGAGATGAATGGGGAAGGGATCTGAAAATCTGCTAAAGTGTAAAGCAAGCTCCAGTTTTCTCAGTTCTTCCAGTCTATACTGTGTGGAAACAGGAAAGGTTGGTGCACAGGGAGGTGTTTCAAAAGGATCATATATCCAACCAGGGGCATGGCTGCTGCTTCTAAGAGATCAGGGCTATGCCAACCCAAAATAATACAGACCTCAGCTAGTTTCCAGGAGCAGTGGAGCTTCACAAAATCTCAGCTTGCTCAGTGCAATACAGGTTTTTCTACCTGTGCTTTTGTCAACGTGGAACCCATTGGGACCTCTGGAGATCTCTAGTTCAACACCCTGCTGAAAGCAGGATCACCACTGACTTCAGACCAGGATGCCTTGGGCATTTCTCAAGGTAGATTTTAAGAATCTTCAAGAATAGGCTGTTAAACCTCTCAGGACAGGTTTTTTCAATGTTTTATTATCCTCACAGTGTTTGTTGCTGGTTGTTTTTTTTTCCAATCTAGCTGGAACTTTTCATTTTTTTTCCCCCAAAATTTGTTTTCTCACCATTCTGCTATACAATTCATGGATCTGGTTATGTCTTCTTAGTTACATTCTTGGGTCCCACAGCTAGAGGCAAGATTTCAAATCTGGCCAAATAAAAGCTAAAAAGAGCACTATCAACTCTTCCTTTAATCTATAATACACTCAATAAGCTGTATGCTGTCTCAAGTATCTCTGCTGCAGTTTGTAGTGGAGAAATTCACTAAGTCATAAGGATTTTCAGGAGAAAAGAGATTCCTAAACATGAATTCTTTTCACAAACAGGCATTTGATCCTAGATTACATAGGTGTCTTTGCAGTATTAGTGAATCAAGCTCAAGCCTGATGTGCTGTGTAGGCTGTAAGAGATAGCCGTGCCGAATGTCTGAGCAGTGCACAAAGCACCCTCACGTTACTTTGAGCAATGAAATTGTACTTTCCCTCAGAGAGGAAGGATTTGAAGGTATCGACATATCAGTGCTGAAGGTAGCACGAGATGCCAAACAGATCATTCAGTCAAACCTACAAGGTGTTTGACAGCAAAGACTGGAAACAAATTGAAAGGAACAGGCTCAATAAATAATTCAAATAGAGATGTTTTAGGTCGGTGAGCAGGTTGAGGAGGAGCAGAGCAAGGATGGGTCTTGGGAGCAGCTGCTGTCTCAGAGGAAGGGGGATGCCTGAGTTAGCAAAGCTGTATGCTTTTAGCTCAGTTAACAAAGCAGCCATTCAGGAAGCATGAGGCTGGGCTAGACTTATTGGTCCAGGCAGCCGTGTAAAAAAGAAACTAGCATCTGCCAGCCAGAGGCACGCAACCCAGAGTAGGAGCAGAACAGTGCCTTGCACTGCGGCCATGAGTTGCAGAGGGGCTTCAGAGCTGGCCTCTGCTGGTCCCTTGTTCTTCCAAGGGAAGCTGACACTGAGCTGTACCACAAGAATCAGCAGTAAGTGGTCAGAGAAGGCGTGGGAATTTCAGCTCATGACTTCCTGTACTGTTTATTGTGGTCATAGATGAGTTGCTCCCTTAATCTTATAACACATATCTTAAAACTATATCTTTTAAACCCTTACTAATCTTTGTTGCAAAAAACCTCCATTCCATCCTGTTTTCTAGATTTTCTTTGTTTATTTCTCTCCTTTGGACCCTTCTCAGTGGATGCATAAATTTTGGAAGTGCAGTGACCCTTTGAGATTTGGGCAAGGGTGAAATTATTCTATACTCACATTGAGTTTTTCCAGTGGCTGGCCCAGGGACCTGATGACATATTTCTCCATGTGCTCACTATACCTTTGCTTGGCTTCTTTCTTCTTGCCCTCCAGGCACTGGATCTTCTTTTGGCACAGGAAGCAGTGAACGTGGTGGAAATTTTCCATCATGACCATATCTGTGTTCACCTTCAGGTTTGCTGAGGACAAGCTATTGACTTTAAAAAAGGGACAAATTGGGTACGGAGAGAAGACCCTATGCGATGGGTCAGGAGGGATGATAGACACAGAAGCATTGGCCCATGCAGGTAGTCTGCATGCACCCTGCTCTGCTGGCTCAGCTGGTGGCAGGTGACTCCCAAGGCCGCAGCTGTGTGGTTGCTACCAATATTGGTACTCACTGCTGTTGAAGACACTATCAGCCAATCTGAGGTGTGCCTTGTC